ATAAGTACATTTAAATTGAGTCGTGCAAAACTCACCACTTTCAAATCATCACAGGCTTTTTCTGCTTCCAATTTTAAACGAGTCTCCTGATCCAAACTGGAGAAGAGACAGGAAATGAATGTAAACAATTCACTGATAGTCACTGGTCCTACCAAGTATCAAAATAAAGTTTATCATTCGAAGTGAATTTACTTGGAAAATTTTAATTTTTTTTATCTCAACAATCATAGAATCTGATAATTTCCTTGAAATCTTTGCTTGAAATAGGCAACAATTTAGCATCCGTGTCATTAGACTAAAAAGCAAAAAATGACAGAAATCTAATTTATATTCTTCATTCATTCATATATGCAATACATTAATCTTCTTAATTTTCACTTGAGATTTGGACATTTTATTTTGTCTTTCTTTTCAACCACCATCACACAAAACAACTAGTTCCACTAATTCACATGGATAGTTTTACAAGAGCCAATCAGTTTTTTTGATGAAATAAATGTTAATAATCAAACAAAAGCTCTCATCCAAAACAATGCTGCTTTTGGCCAAAATGAATTATAAAATAAAAGCACGTGAAAGCACACTGTTTTCTAAAATATGTCTGACTGAAATGTCTGAAAAGAGAAAACAAAAGCAAGGATTTACCGTTTTTAGTGGGAAAAATAATGTAATTTTGGTATTTATGGCAGCAACACACTACTTTCTACTGCACCCCTACTTCTTACAGCCTTGGAGTGTGTTCACAAGAAAACGGGAGGTTCACATGCCATTTGACACTTGACCAAAATCTATCTAAATTAATTCAGCTACAAAAAAAAGGCAAGCTGGACATTAGTGAAAAGTGAAAAAAAAACAAAAAAAAAAAACCTGACAATAACATTGTTTATAATATTGTGTTCTGAGAATGAAGAAGAATCTGTAGGAAGAAGCAAAGGAGGGTGCACGACCAACGTGATTAAACACGTCTGGGTTCATGGTTTAGAAGTAACAGAGTGCCCCGTTTTTGACGCGTTGCGCCACCGCTCCGACCCGCAGCCTATCAAACCATTACAGCTGGAATCGGGTAAGTAAAACAATAAAATGTGTCTTATACCAACATTAAGGCCTCTAATAAGTTATACTCGACCTAAAGTCACGGGTCAACTCAAATCCAAACACCATTCTAACGTTAGCTCATGTATTTTTTCCATAGACAAACAACAAGTTCATGAGTTTGATATTTATACACCGGTTGAAAACAGCCCTGTGAGAAATTCACAGTAAAGTTAGTTAGTAAAGATAATAAAACGTAAAAAGACAATTTCAAACTATTTCATCCAGAAAGGAATAGGGTTAGACAGTTCATTTAAACCATGTAAACTTTTTTTGGACTCCTGCCTCTAAAAAGAATCGGAATCGAGAATAGGAACCAGAATCGAAATGAGGAATTGTTCAAAGTCTCACAATATAATTTTTAGAAATCCATGCCCTCACAAAAGGAGTAAGAAAAGTACTCATGCGTACAAACACACTGGTGGCTTTGTAGCCGATTAAAAAGTCCCAACTTTTCTTAAAGAAGCAAACTTTTTTGCACCTCCCACCTGGTTTTAAGTCTGTCTCGCTCCACCTTCAGGGACGTTACTTCACTGGTTAAGCTATCCTTCTCCTTATTCAGCTTGCTCATCTCCTCCGTACGCATTTCAGTGAGGCTTGTTGACGTGTAACTTCGCAGACTCTCCACCTCCAACGTCAGTTTGTGGTTCTGCTTCTTCAGGGAGCGGATGTTCTCGATGTAGGCGGCAAAGCGATTGTTCAGCAGCTGCATCTGGGCCTTCTCATCGCTGCGCTTATTCAGAAACTCCTCGTTGATGGGGTCCATCAAACTGAAGTCTGCTGTGTCTCCCATGGCAACCAACAGAGGTCCTGACTGGAGGTGGTGGGTTTGGTTTGAGGAGGCGATGGAGATCATGTTGAGGAATACAGAGAAGATGAAGGTGCAGCAACATGAGGTGCACTGAAGAAGAAAAGACTTCCAGATATTTGTAGTTACCTCTTTTCACTTTTTACCCTATCAGCCCTGTCAACAGCTCTTCATGCACATTCTTGTGTGAATGTTTATGAAGCATTCACACTATTGCAATCCATTTTTCTTCTATATGTTTTTCGTCATCTTTCTCGTTCCACAATTTTTGTGCCATTTCAACAAATTATTTATCAAAACGTTCAGCTCGTTCAGGAGAAGGGTGCTATGACTTTTGATGTTGGTGCAACTAGCTTTTTGAAGTATTTCGCCCTTTCTGCTGTTTTTGTCCTCATAGAAAACAAACTGAGCTCATTTTACATCCGTCAAATGATCCGTTTACAACTTTTATAGCTCCTTTCACATTTTGTTCTGGTTCAGCTTCTTTCAGCTTTCTTGCGCAAATGTAAACCTTTTTTTCCGGCTACTTTCAGCTGTTTTGTTCAGCTGTTTTATGCTCCTTTCCGTTTCTTTCACTAACTACAACATTTTTGTGCTTCTTCTAACTTCTTTCTGCTAATTTCAGCTTTTTCTGCGATTTCGTCCACTATTTAGCTGTTTATGCTCATTTTAGCCTTTTCAGCTAATTCCACATTTTTTTTTGCACTAATTTAAACTTTTTTCAGCTTAATTTAGCAAAAATGTGCTCTCTCCACATCTTTCTGGTCATTTTAAGCTTCTTTCTGCTTTTTAAGCAACTTTTCAGCTGGGTGTTTCGGGCTAAGTTCTGCCTTTTTTTCAAATAATGTCCACTTTTTTTATGCTCATTTCTACTTTTTTCTGCAAATTTAAGCTTGTTCTAACTTTTCAGCTAACTTTTTTTTTTTTTTAGCATTTTTTTAGCTAATTTCAGCTAATTAACTTCTTTATGCTAATTTGTGCTTGTTATGCTCCTTTCAGCTTTTTTCTGCTAGTTTCAGCCTTTTCTGCTATTTCAGTTACTGTTTTATTGCTAATTTTAGCTGTTTTGGCTAATTCCATTTTTTTTTTTTAGCTGATTTCAGTTCCTTCCACTTCTTTCTGGTAGGTTAAGCCTTTTTCTGCCTTTTCATCTATTTTTCAGCCAATTTTTCTTAATTCAAGCTGATTTTGGCCGATTTCCTAATTTTTGTGCTCATTTCAGCTTATTTAACCCTAATTCAGCAAATGTGTTCTTTCTGCTTTCTTCTGCTAAAAGGCTTGTTCTTCCATTTCAGATACATTTCAGCAATGTTTTTAAGCTAATTTCAGCTGCAAGTCTTCTGCAACAAGCATTCACACTGCATTTGTACAGGAAATGCAATTTGTCTAGTTGTGTATGCAACATTTTATTCTTCATCTGCTTTTTGATCTATTCTCTTCCTATCTCACTGTTCTCACATGACTCAATGACTATTTTCTCTCTTTTTGTCTGTACCTCTCCAGTAAAATAAAGGTAATTAATAATAATTTGTAGATCAGCAAAAAGGAGAGCTTTTAGTGTAAAGTCAGGATGAACTGGAGTTTGCTGCTTTCCTATAACAACTGTCAGTCTTTGAGTGGCTAATGATCATCTTGCTTACTTTACATAATAAATCACTCTTTCCATTTCTCTTAGTCAAAGTCAAGTCCCCTGCCTTTTATTCGTGCAAAAATTGATGTAAAAACGTGTAAAATGTTCATTTTGTGCATGACTGAACGTCTGCTGATTAATAATGATTAGAAGGATTAAAAAGGACTCAGAATAGCTCAGTACTTATTTATATCATGTTTTTTTTTCTCTCAAGTTAAGAAAACTAATATAAATAAATCAGTTTTCATCAATGCATTTCTGTTTTTGATTCCATACAACTTTTCTAATTCAAGTTGTTCGGAGTAGCTCAGACTTTATCGTCCAGGATCGATGTAGTTTGTTCGTGTTCCGTCATCCTGTGTCATTTCTGAACTTAAACTCCGCTGCACAAATGCAAAAACAAATGAACATCTAAGATTTTGTAAAGGCCCAAAAGGGTCGAAGAGAGAAAACAAACTTGACATCTTACCGTGCGTAAGTTGAAGGAGAAACTCTGTGGCAGGTGTGTCTGCTATAGATGTTTGTCTTTTTATTGCAGGTAAAAATTGGGTCACACCCCAGAAAAACTCGCGCTCCAGATTTTTTTTTTTTTGCTTCTCCTTCCTCAACCCTCACTTTATGTCAAACATGTTGAGCAAGCTGCAATCAGGTTGATGCAGTTAAACAGAAGGTGAAAATGTTTTACAGATTTGAAAATATGTATTGACATGAAACTCCTGCAGCTCTCACCATCTTTTTAAATATAAACTATAAGAATACAATAATTGGCATGGGCAACAAAACACAAATGAGCAAATATTAAAAACAGGAGGAGTTGAGAACAGAGACAGAAAACAGAGGGACTGACAATGAGCTCTGCAAGCTCAGGACCACAGAACAGAATAACATCCTAGCTTATGATGATCTTACAAGATTCTATCCATCCATCCATTATCTTTACCCGCTTATTCCATTTTGGGTCACGGGGGTCGCTGGTGCCATCCAGCAATCGCTGTGCGAGGGGCGGGGTACACCCTGGATGGATCGCAAGTCCATCACAGGGACACAGAGACAAACGAGACAAACAACCATTCACTCTCTCATTCACACCTAGGGACAATTTTAGAGTTACCAATCAGCCTAACATGCTTGTTTTTGGTCTGTGGGAGGAAACTGGAGTACCCGGAGAAAAGCCACGCATGCACGGAGAGAACATGCAAACTCCACCCAGAAAGGCCCCTGGACCGGGGTTTGAACCAAGGACCTGCTCGCTGAAGCTCTCACTCATCATTGCCATTGCACCTTCTTGTTAACTCTGTTCCTGTGTCAAATAAGCACGAGATCCTGAACTGTTTCAACAAACATTTTGTTACTTCTAGTTCCTTGGTTGCCACAGTTACTAATAGTAAATCAACCACTTCTCCTTTAAGCCAAACATCTTCAAATCAAATCCCTCCTTCAAGGCATTCTTCAGTAAACTACACCTTCTCTTTTTCTCCGTTGTCAGTCAGTGAGGTTAATAAATTGTTAAAAGGTCTAGACTCTAAAAGATCTACAGGCCCTGATGACCTTCCACTTTATTCCTTAAGGCTGGCTGCTCATATCATCACAGTCCCTGTGTCCCACATCTTTAATCTCTCAATAAGACAAAACTCCATTCCAGATGCTTGGAAAACAGCCTTTGTTCTACCTTTGCTGAAGGGAGGTGACCCCACCGCACTGGACAACTATCGACCAATCTCTAAACTCTGCATTTTAGCCAAGGTTCTAGAAAAACTGATAAACTCTCAAATCAAAAATTCCCTGGACTCATTTAACATCTTACCTCGCCATCAATCTGGTTTCAGGAAACAACACAGCACAATGACTGCTTCGCTGAAGGTTTTTAATGATGTTGTTGAACCACTGGACGCTAAGGATTATTGTGCTGCACTTTACTTAGACCGGTCTAAAGTTTTCAATACTGTGGACCATAAGGTTGTCTTCGTGTAGAAGAATGTTCTCTCATTTGATGGAGCTGCAGAAAAATGTTCACAGGTGGAGCTTCATTTCTAACATGCCTGTAAAATCAGAATGTCACTGACATCCGGAAATAACCCAACAATCTTTTTACTTTTTATTCTCAGGATCAACACTTTATTCTTTGACACGCCTATGTTTTGAATCTAACTCGTCCAAGTTTTCATGTCTCATAAAGGCATTACACGTTCAGACAAGTTGTAATGTGACCTGTATATGTGGTCAACAGAAATACATTGAGCTTTTTACAGTTTGAGGTATGGAAGCCCATTTCCGTCATGAAAAAGAAAATAAAAGCCCAACAGGAAGTCTTAATTTCAACTATTAAAGTCATAATTATGAGAATAAAAGTCATAATTTTGACTTTTAAAGTCATCATTATGAGAATAAAAGTCATAATTTTGACTTTTAAAGTCATAATTATGAGAATAAAAGTCATAATTTCGAGTTTTAAAGTCATAATTACAAGAATAAAAGTCATAATTATGAGTTTTAAAGTCATAATTACGAGTTTTAAAGTCATAATTATGAGAATAAAAGTCATTGAGTTTTAAAGTCATAATTTTGACTTTTCTAATTAAATTTTTAAGTTTGTCCCTTGCCGGACACTGTGACTTTACAGGGATGCAACTTCCTGTCAGACTCCGATAGTTTTCCTGCATGGCACATGGATTAATTCATTCGATGTACGTCACTCTGCCTTCATACATCAATCCTTTTAAATAAAGGTATGTAATGTATTCATCTTTTTATTGCCACTTTATATAGTATTTAGTATCAAAGTCCATTTCCGCTATGAAATAAAAGCCCAACAGGAAGTCGATTGAGTTTTAAAGTCATAATTACTAGGAGAAAAGTCATAATTATGACTTTAAAACTCATCATTATGGCTTTTATTCTCGTAATTATGACTTTAAAAGTCGTAATTATGACTTCAAAAGTTGAAATTATGACTTCCTGTTGGGCTTTTATTTTTTCTTTCATGGCAGAAATGGGCTTCCATACAGAGGTCATGTAATCAAAAATAAAGTAATTCTACTGGTCAGATATTATATATTCAGGCATCATGTGCAGACAGAACGTACCCTTTTGCTACTTTTAACTTTCGCAAGCCTTATGCTACTTTTACTAGCCTTTTGACTTTTATTAGTTTGCTTTTGATTATTTTAGCTACCCCATTGCTACATTTAATTAACCGTTAGTCATTTTTAATAACCTTTGCTTCATCAGCTTTTAGCTCACCCTTTGCTCGTTAGCTAGGATATAGCTTCTTTTAGCATTTTTTAAAATTCAGTCAACCTTTATTTATACAGGTTAGTCTCACTGAGCCATGAGGACTCATGTAAAAGAGATACCTGTTTTAAAAAAACAGAATAGGTAAACACAAAAATAAACAACAATAAAATGCAAATAAAATAACAACAAAAAGTAGTGTTATAAAACTAAATCAAATCAAGGTGCCTTATAAAACAAGGTGAAATATCCTGATGCATGCTCAATAATCCAGGTCGAAAAATCCAAAAAAGGTCAATCTGGTCCTCTGGACATTCAAAAAAACAAAAAACAAAACAAAGCAAAAAAACTTAGAAATGTTTCGTCTCTCATCCAAGAGACTTCCTCAGTCTGAGGTGCTGTATTCAGCTCAGTCTCTTAAATAGCACCTCTTCAGAGTGGATCAACCAGTTTGCTGCTGACAACCAAAACCAGCTGATCACATGCTCAAGAAGGACCATCAGCCTAACAATGGGTCATTAGCACACTGATGGCTGTTTACTGTTCACAGAGGGCTGAGTGATACTAGCAATCACAGCATTGTAAGAGGGGGACAGTTGAACCCGGAGGCCTCCACCCCTGTTTAATGATGGACGATTTCTTTTCACAAAGATGGCCTCCTTTACTCCTCTCTCAAACCATCGTTCCTCTCTGTCCAGGATGTGAACATCTTCATCCTTGAAAGAGTGACCGCTGGCCTGGAGATGAGTGTAGACCGCAGAATCCTGGCCTGATGATGTTGATCTTCTGTGCTGGGCCATCCTTTTGGCCAGTGGCTGTTTAGTTTCCCCGATGTAAGACTGATCACAGCCCTCCTGACACTGAACAGCATACACAACATTACTCTGTTTGTGCCGGGGGACTGGATCTGGTGAAATACTAAAATCTAAAACAGGAACATGTTTGATTTTTCTATTGAACTTATCAATTGTTTAAAATCCCATAAAGAAATCAAAGTTGACAGCATCAGATCTATTTGTAAGGTGTTCCAGGTTACAGGTGCAGACTAAGAAAAGGCCTTTTTGCCTAGTTCAGTCCACACTGATTGGACGCTGCAGGTAATGATGGCCTGAGAGCGCACGCTGTAACTGCACTGACTACGTGACATGTGGGAGGAGATGTATGAAGGCAGCAGACCAAGTTTTAAAATGTAGCTGTTTTTTTCTCTCCATTTCTTTAAAATGTATCCTATATTTATATAGGTAGTCTCATTGAGCCACAAGAACTCATTTTCAAGAGAGACCTGTTTGGGGAGCAGGTGGTGAGGGTTAAGGGCCTTGATCAGTGGCCCAGAGTAGGGCAAAAAAGGGTGGAGGGAGGTGTGGGTGTTTCACCTTTTCCAACCACATTTTGATGTTGACGGTACCAGGAGTTGAACCTACGACTTTCCAATCACAGGCCCATCTTCTCTAGCCTCTGCGCCACCACGCCTAACATGCATGCAAAATGCAGTTCTTCTTGCTCAGTTTCAGCTTCTTCAGCAAAGTCATTCAGCTTTCAATGTTCACAGTTAGTTTTTGAAAGAATGGTAAATGGACTGTACTTATAAAGCGCCTTTCTATCTGATCATTATACTCAAAGCGCTTTACAACACAATCTGTGCCCTCATTTACCCATTCATACAACACTCTACTAGATCTTTACAAAGATTAATCAGTGCTTTATCACATTCATACACCGTTGGGACACATCAGAGGCAATGAGGGGTTCAGTGTCTTGCCCAGGAACACTTCGGCATGTGACTGTTGGTGGAATCGAACCCCCAACTCTCCCATTGGAGGACGACTGCTCTAACCACTCAACCACAGCCACCCAAGAAGAGCATGACTAAGGGTTATCAGTTAAAGTCATCTAAAACTCTTCAGGTAGGCTAATTTTTATGTAACAGCCATAAACAACACAAAGGCACCATCTTACAAACTTATCCCACACACACTCCTACATAAAGACTTTCAAAGAACCAAAAATGTGTAAAATTTCAGCTGTTTTCCTATAAATCATCCTGCTGCTGTGACCAGTTGAACTAAGGTTTATTCAAGTACAAATCAAAGTAAAAAATAAAAGAAACCATCCATTATTTTTCATCCGTGTTTTCCTTTTCGGGTCACGGGGGTCACTTATGCCAATGTCCAGCTATCACTGTGCAAAAGGTGGGGGACACCCTGGACTTTTCTCCAGTCCATCACAGGGACACAGAGACAATCATTCACTCTCTCACTCACACCTAAGGACAATTTAGAGTTGCCAATCAGCCTAACATGCATGTTTTTGGTCTGTGAGAGGAAACC